CAGCGCTTTGCACCCGCCACCTCCTGGGCCCGCACTGCACCCCCCCCCCGGGGTGGGCATTCCTGTTCCCATCATCCTCACCGCACAGGCGGCTCACTGTGGGGTCAGGAGGGTCAGTGATTTGCCCGCGGTCGCAGCAGCAGTAAGTGGCAAAGTGAATTGTATAAGCCAGGCCAGTGCAAGAATAAAGGTGAGATTCTTACAACTGGTTCAATACACGCGTGCGTTGTGTTTGCTGACAAGAGAAGAAGAGCTCACCCAGGACCATCGCCCAGCCCCAGTGGAGACAGGCGCGAGGCAGACCATCCCGTCGTGAGCACTGGGCTGACCGTGCTGGTACCAGCTCTGTCACCGAGTAGGCTGATGTCTCCCCTTGCTGGATTGCCATCCCATCAGCCTCCAAGTAGGAAAAGGTGTCCCACCGTCCTCAGAAACGCCATGTGACCAATGATAAAAAAATGAACTAGATTGTGTCCTACTATTGCTACTCCTAATCACAAAGATAATTCATCATCTCACACACACACACACACAAATGAAATGCCCAATAAAACAAAGATCATTTAAAAACTCACACCCGCCACTGTTATCATTTGTTGTGCATCCTAGCTGGGGTTTTCCCTGTCAGCATAAAGAATGCAGGTGCAGCCCAGCCGGTGTGGCTCAGCGGTTAGAGCGTCGGCCTGCGGTCCCGAGAGACCCGGGTTCAGTTGCCGCTAAGGGCATGTATCTCGGTTGCAGTTTGTCCCCGGCCCTGGTTGGTCATGCGGGTGGCAGCCACTCGATGTGTCCCTTTCACATCGATGTTTCTCTCTCTCTTCCTCTCTCCCCCTCCCACTCTACCTGAACAAAAAATAGAAAAATGTCCTCAGGTGAGGATAAAAAAAAAAAAAAAAGAATGCAGGTGCAGCCCAGCCGGTGTGGCTCAGTGGTGGAGCGTTGACCCATGCAACAAGAGGTCACCGGTTCGATTCTCAGTCAAGTACATGCCCAGGTTGTGGCTCCATCCCCAGGGGCAGGCATGCAGGAGGCAACCAATCGATGTTCTCTCTCATCGATGTTTCTATCTCTCTCTCTCTCCCCCTTCCTCTCTCTCTCAAATCAATAAAGAAAAAAAAAAGAATTTAATAAAACTAAGTAGCTACTTGTAACCGGCTTCTTTACTCCCAGTGTATCTCAAATTTCTTCTTAAATCATCTTACGAACGTGTTTTTCAGTGGCCATGTGCTATGCCACTGAATGGGTGTACGCTGATCTATTTAACCAACCCCATATTATTAGATAATAAAGCTGTCTCCAGTTTTTATGACTAAAAAAAAAAAAAAACTTGCAGTGAACTTCTCAGAACAGAAATACTTATGGGCATTCCTGATTATTTCTGTAGGACCAATTCTCCAAAGTGAAATGATCAGATTAAATGATTGACACAATTTTAAGGCTTTGAGTATATTTTGCCAAACTTTCCTCCCAAAAGCCTTATCTATTTTTATTCCAACCAGCAGTTTTTGAGATGTCGTGTTTTCTCATTAGCAATAAATATCGTTATTTTTAATATATACATTTGCTAAGTCAATGAATAAAAACTATATTTAATGTACATGTCATTGATGACAGTCTTTCTTTTCAAGTATTTACTGAGTATCTACTGTGTTAGTTACTTAAGTGGACATTTCCATAGATGCTCTGTCACTTAACCCTCTCAAGAGTCCTTTGAAGCTGGTGGAATATCACCTTTTAGTGAATGAGGACGCTGAGGCATAGACCAGCTTAGGTTGTATGCTGAGCTCTACCAGCTGTGTGATGTTGGGGTGTTCCCAACCTCTCTGAGCTGAAGAATGATAATGTCCTGAATCTCTGAGAGTTCTGGTGATCCTTCTACTCCATGACTTTGAGTCCCACACTCAAGTGTTCAGTGCTGGACCAGGAAGCCAGGAGGATACTGTAACATTCTCCCCCCCAGCACAAAGCAGCCAGCCACCCACTCACAAATCCAGTCTCTCCTCTGCAGCTACGGAAACTAACTGGCAGAGAACCCGGCACAATCAGTAGGTCTTCAGTGAGTAAGGGTGTCTACCACACATGCTTACTGAATAAATCAGTGATGCAGACTAGGTAAGTGTTACACATTCATGAACCGCTATCTCATTTCTCCATCACCTTCCCGCCTCAGGACCTTTGCACAAGCTGTTTCCGCTGCCTGAAATGCTTCCACGCACAATTTTTCACCTGGCTAATTTTATTCATTGTTCAGAGCTCAGCTCAAAAGTCACCTCCTCCAGACCAGGTTAGGACCCCTCGGCTTATCCTATGATGGCATCATACACTCTGGCTTCATAGTTCTTCCTGCATTTGCAATCCATTGATTATGCAGTTACCTAAGAGCTGTTTCTCTCTCTAAACCTTAAGGTCCAGGAGGACACCACCTCTACCACCTTGTTCACCACTGTGTCCCCAGCACTTATGACATGTCTAGTCCAGACTAAACCCCTGCTAAACACATTACAGAAATATAGTCATTTGTGTCATGCCTCTGGACATCCAAACAATGATAAAACTACAGGGACATTTGGCTGTCATATTCTTACACCGGGTGATACAGTGAAAAGGTACTTTACCATCATCGTCAAGAACCCAAGGAGTTCAACCCGCATCGACTGTGGAATGAGACTGTCCCTTTTCTGATTTATGAGACTTACTGTGAACACATTTTTAATAATTTCCCAAGGGTGGCAACTGCTCGGGTGCTGGGAATGGGGGCGTTCATTGGGTGTTCTTGTAGCGTTTTTATGAAAGAATAAGACCTATCGCCTTGTACCATTGGTAAATTCGTTTGGAAGGCAACTTTTTCAAAAGTCACCTTTTTGTGTGTGTGAACTCATCAGAATAAATATCTCGTTAGAGGACACTCAGAAGTTAGTGAAACTGTACTAATTCATTCTCTGTGGGGACACAAAGGCCATTGACCTAGTTTCTCTGCTGTACTTGAAAAAGCTGAATTGTCATTTCTTTATAACGAATTCACACTTCTCGGGGATTCTTGGACTAGGAAAAGTCCCAGGGGGATCTGATCGAACGAATAATCTGTAATCAACCCGCCAGTTATTCCTCTTTCAAGGGGATGTGACATTCTTGATCATTGAGATTTAAAAAAAAAAAAAAAATTGCAGGACTAATTTACTCACCAATTCACTGCTCTGTTCTGCCCCGGGTATGTTATATAGGACCGACTCACAAATCTTAAATTTGTGGGTTTTCGGTAAATATCCATGGACGATCCGTACAGCGGCATGCTTTGGGACCTCCAAAATACTCAGCTCTGGCCATTAATTCAGAGAAAGAGATCCTTCAGAAAAAGAGTACTGGGTGTCACATGGAGCGGGACCCGGAGCATTTTTTGATCAGTTGGGACTCCTGATGGTTTTCCTTTTCCAACTGACACACATTCAATGAAAACAACTCCGTTCCAGAGACAGAAGCCAGTGGATAAACAGATTCAGCTCCGTAACGCTCAAGTATAAGAGATTCGGCTGAAAAAAATCACCTGTAAGACAGTAACTCCTTCATCCTCCTCTGCCTAAGTTCCCTCTCTCCAGGCAGCAGAAAGAACAGAAAGAAAAAAATGGGTGTTCAAGTCCCTTGTACTTTTTTAAGCACATGGTATTTATTAGGCATTAATTGGCACACAAATATACGAAACGAGTACTTAATTCTCCCCCGCCCCCCCTTAGCAACATAAAAGGACAAAATGGCTTGAAGACACTCACGTACAAACATCCTCACACGCTCACGTACTTGGACATACTCAGCCTCGCATATTACCCTGTTCTTTTTATTAGGGTCAGTTAAAAAAAGATTTTTTTTTTTCTTTTAAATCGAGAAAGCAAAGCACATTCGAAAGAGAGGGTAAAAAAAAAAAAAAAAAAAAAAGGAACGCAAACTTGGTTTTTGAGTATCAATAAAATTAAAAGTTCTTGGCCAGCTCCCATGCTGGATTCATTTCATGTTATTACTTAATTAGAACTCCTATTTATAAATAAATAGTACCAGTAAAATATTACATCTGAAGAACCCTGCAATAACGTTTTACTTACACACTTATTTTTTTTTTTTTTAATACTGTTTTCTGCTTTCCGTAACCACAGTTTGGTGTGGGCGCTGGCGGGAGTTGTTCGGAGAGAACCGATCGATGGGCGCGTCTCGCCTCTTCCGCAGAGACGGTGGATTTCGCTGTCTGCATCCAGCCGGGCCGTCGGGCGGTTGGAGGCTGGGGGCTGGCTTTGTTTCGTAGGAGAACGAGTATTTATTTCGGCTTTTTCTTCGCTCTCGTCAGCACAGGGCTTGCCCCTTGCTGATCACCGTTCTGCCGGTGTGAACCAGGGCTCTTTAAGTTTTGCAAAGCAAGCTCTCCGGCTGGGGAGCTACCGGCCGCGTTTGACAACAGATGGCTGGACGCCCCCGAGAAGACAAGCGCCGAGTCAGACAGATGCCGAGTGGAGTCCAAGGTGATCCCAACTCCCCTGGCAGGCAAGCTGGGCTCCGCGATGATGGCGAAGGTGGGATGCAGTCAGAGAGAAGCCGGGGATGGAGGGACATTTTCAGAAACATCACATGGCAGAGGTAGGTCATTTCTTAGTCGAGGGGAGGGTGGTGAATTTAGGTTGTAGGGGTGGTTTCTAGGGAGAGAACCCCACAAGTACATACTATGAAACACTTGCCTCAGACCTCCCCCAAAATATGGGACTGGGTCCCGTTAAGAAAATTGAAAAGAAAAAAAAAATATATTATTATTTATTATATAACAATGTCAACATTAACACCAAGACAGGAAAAGACTCCAACTTCGCTCTGGGATAAAACACTCGACGAGGCAAGACTTTCTGGAGGCCCAAGGAGGAATCAGGGAGGGCCTCTGGAGGCGGTGTGAGCGCGGCCCGCTGACGAGTGCGGCGGTCGTGGTGGGGATGGGACTCATCTTTCTCAGTTCATTTATTTTTGTTTTAAAGTTTGGAGACGAAACAACAGAGTCACATTTTTTGAATTGTGGTTTCAGGCTACTGATTAGATCAGTGTCTTGGGGCTCCTCTCGAGTGCAGACACGGGGTGACGTGAAGATCTTGTCCGTGGGGTTCTCTCTCCTCCTGTCTCTCTCTCTCTCCTCTCTCTCCAGCAAACGTCTGTGAGAAGGCAGCCTGGCTTTAGCTGTTCTCACTCCACTCTGGCACCATGCCAACCCCGTGCACAGAGTGGTACTGGTGCGGGGACAGGGTCCGAGGCACACCGTGAGAGTAGAGGAACTCCGATGGTTGCAGGCTGCCGGGGGACTGCAGGCCAGTCTGAGGCCCACACTGCCTGACCACAGGCTGGTGGGCCACGGAGGTCTGGTGCTGGAACATGCCCTCCCCGAGCTGCGGGGAGCCGTGGTTGGCGATGCCAGCCAGCCGGGGGACCAGGGGCCCCGAGGTGAAGTGGGCGGAGAAGTGTTGGTAGGGCAGCCGATCCATGGGCTGCACGGTGGTGACCGTGCAGCTGCTGTAGGACGGCATGCTGGGCCAGGTGTTGCAGCTGATGTCCTCCAGGCTAGGCACCGGCTCGCTGGGCGGGGCGGAGCTGGCATACATGCAGGCCTGCCGCTGGGCTGACTCTGTCCTGTAGGAGGCGCTCAGGCCCTGCTGCTGGGGGTAGCTGGGGCGATAGAAGGGGTCCTCTTCGCTGGGCGACGTCTCCATGTAGGGCTTCTTGTAGGGATGGTCTGCGGTGGAACATTCTTCATCTGCTAAGACAGGAGGAGAGAGACTTGTGAGGCCAGAGCCAGCCACCCCGCAGCTAACAGCAAACACAGCCATGGGGCCAAAGGCCTGAAGAATCAATCTCCAGCCCGGCCGGCGTGGCTCAGTGGGTGAGCGTCATCCCATGGACTGAGAGGACCTGGTTCAATTCCTGGTCAGGGCACATGCCCAGGTTGTAGGCTGGATCCCCAGGGGGAGGCGTGCAGGAGGCGGCCCATCGATGTCTCTCTCTCACGATGTTTCTATCTCCCTCTCCCTTCCTCTCTCAATAAAATCAATACAAATATATTTATTTATGTATTTATTTTTTGGTTAATATTTTTTTCTTTATTGATTTTAGAGAGAGAGAGAGACATAGAAATATTGATGAGAAAGAACACCAATTGGTCGCCTCCTGCCTGCTCCCCACTGGGGATCGGGCCCACAACCTGGGCGTGTGCCCTGACCGGGAATCGAACCGACGACCTCTTGGTACGTGGGTGGATGCTCAACCCCTGAGCCACACTGGCCAGGCTCAATAAAAACATGTTTTTAAAAAAGAATTGAGTCTCCTGGGACTGTAAGCCCCGGCCTGATTCTGACTCGAAGAGGTGGGCTGGTCGGCGAGGGCCTGGCTGAGAGAGGCTCTAAGCGAACTGTGACCTTTCTGAGCTCAGTGTCTTCGTCCGCAAAATGGGACGGGGAACAACAGCACTTCACTCCCCAGGGAATTGTTGAGCACGAAATGGGAGAGTGTTTATTAGTCCAGCGCTTGGTACAAGGACACACTCAAGAAATAAGTTATTGTTGTTATCATCTTCCCTCCTCTCCGGCCTGTAAGTTCCACAAAAGCGCCTCATAATGAAAATAGTAATTCAATCAACAATAACGGTAAAAACAACACGTCGTGCTGTAGGGACTCATGAGACAACGCATGTAACCTTCCCAACAACGCTATGACACGGGTCCTGTTACTATCCCCATTTTACAGAGGAGAGAAAGGAGACACACTGAGGCACATACACTTGCCAAGGTCTCATAGGGCTGGTTGACAGGGAGCTAGGATCAGAATCCTCGCCACCGAACTCCGAAGTCTCTGCTCTCCAATACCACACCGTACGCAGAAGGCATGCAATAAATATCTGTGCAGTGGACGGACGCATGGATGGACAAATGGACAAACGGAGGGGGGCTCGAGTAAATGAATTTCCAAATCCTTTCCGGAAGCCTTACGGAACAAGTGCCTAGTTAATATCCGCTGAGTCAGCACAAATGACCGTATCACTGATTTGCGGCTGAGGGAGCCACTGCCATTGTCTCGGCACAGGAATTCCAATTGAGGGGCAGTAGAGATGCTTCTGACCACTTTGGGGTCACTGACCCTTTCGGGAACCAACACATGTGCTGGGCTGTCTCCTAGAAAAATACACTAAAACGCAACATTTGGAGAATGGAGTGTGCACACAATTTCCAGGGGCTCCCCAAAATCCAGACTTCGGGCGGAGAAGTCTAGAAGTGTCTGGGTTTGAATCTGGTTCTTCTACTTCATACCTGTGGATGCCAGCATCTCCCCTCGCAGAGATGTATTTTCAGCATCTCTGAATAAGAGTGATATTTACTCTGCTGGCTGGCTAAGAATAAAATAAGATGGCGCATGTATACATCTCCCGACAGGACACCTTCAAGGGCAGCTCTTCAGTGAGGGTCAGCCCACCAGTCAGTTCGTGGCAGATCCCATCTAAAACAGCTCCCGCTGTTTCCTTCAGGGGAAGCAATACTTTGGTATCTACCCAAGTGTCAACCTCAACCCAGAGTCGTTCCTTAGATGGAACTCTACCTGCAACCGGAGACAGTATTTTCTCATCTTCCAATCACTTTCTAATCAATAAACGTTAAGAAATAGGTCTGTCCTTAGGGGTGTGGGGGGAAAAGGAAACACTAGGACATCCCTGCCACTCACTGTGATGGTGGGTGGCATGAGGGAAGAACGCACGCAATCATAGCTGTGAGTGACTGAGCGCTTCCTAAGTGACCTATCTCTAACCGCACAGTAATCCCTCCAGGTGGCTGCTCTCGCTCCTGTCTCACAGAGCCAGACACTGAGGCTTGGGGAAGTGATGCACCCAAGGTCATGCCGCTGGGAAGGACAGAGGCTCGAGTCAGAGCCAGGGCTGATGACTGCCAACCACACCCTGCAGGCAGCTCTCTAGAGTTCTAAAATCCAATGCTACTCCTCCAGTCAACAGGTGTTCATGGGACCCTACCAGTGCCAGGCCCTGTACCAAGTGCTGGAGATAGAGTGGTCAGCAGGTAGTCGCAGTCCTGCTCTTAGTCCATGTACTTGGCCCCTGTCCATTCTGCCCTGAGCAGTGAGGACAGATGCTGACCGTCTGTGATCAGCAGGTGGTCCTCAGATACAGAGATCTAAGTTGGTCGCTCGCCCCACCATACATCTTGTTACTTTGGACTGCGTTACCCAATAGCGCCCCAGTAAGGCAGCCTGGGTCTGGGTTCCACCCAACACCTCCATGTGCATCATCTTCCCAGGGACACCCACAGGTAAGTCAAAAATCTCCCCCCAAAAACACAGCTATGCTAGGGTTGTACCAATCAAACAGCCTGCCAACTTATTTTCAGCTAGACTCTTTCTGGGACCAATAGGACACCCAAAGATTTGTCCAAATGAAAGTGAAAAGGGGCAGCCATTCTTCCAGATGTCCGCGTCATGCCAGATGTTTGAAGACACCCAGAAGAGCGGTGACCACACTGTTCACCTTTCAACTGGGCATTCTTTTGGCGTCTTGAAGACATGGCCACAGTCAACATTTTGTGCCGGTCACTTCCTTCCTCAATGTCTTCCCTCCATTCTTCCCTCTATCCCCAGATCCATAAATGTGAATGTTTCCATTGTTGGAAGCAGAAACTCGGGTTTTTCATTTAACCAGGGCGTTCCCCTTTTCAATAATAGAAAGTACAGCTGCAGGGTACCCTTGGCAAGAGGAAAAACAAAAAAACACACACAAAAAAACAAGGCAAACTAACCATTTCCGAGTTTCTGATCCCTTTCCAGACTTGTTACAAGTTAGAAAGAAAGGATAATATAAAGAAGGCTGGAGCCTATTTGGAAAATCGTAAAATTACACATTCCAGTCTTTTAATACCCCAAAGATCTGATGCAGAGTCTGAAGAACGGCTCGATACTGGCTCATTGATGAAAGAAAGCAGGTTGTGCGCATTCTCAAATTCCTCCCGAACCTCACCACGTTGTAAAGAAATTCCAAAGCAGGCATCCAACTGTCAGGTGGTGATCAATGCTTTGTTGGATGCAACCTCCACGTTTATTTTGGTTACGGTTTTCATTGGGAGCCCGATAACTGGTCGACAGCGAAAGCTTCTCTCCCAGACAAGTCATGTTTACCTTCCACGGTTGGGGGAGGAAGGGGCTGGAGTCACGAGTCAAGTCCTGGGTGAGAGGGGTCCATAGCTCGGTGTCGGCAAGCTGTGTGGAGTGGTCCGGAACCCATCTGAGTACCTTGGAGGGCATGAAGCTCTTCCTGTCTGACCACCGATCACTGCGTAGCGCTGGGGAAAACCTGGTCCCTTGCATTTTTCTGGATGCTACTGATGCTGAAAAGTGGCTTTAATGATGAAACCAGAACATGGATTTCAGGGCACAGTTATGTCGCTGGCTCTCACTGGCTATGTGACCTTGGACGAACCACTGAGACCGTTCCAACCTCAGCTCTTAAGGTTGGTACAGAAATTTTGTCCGTGACGATGGTACAGGAATTTTGTGGGGGGGTTGAAATAATAATAAGTACGATCTAGCTTCTGTCTATCTTCCTTGGGCATAAACTGTTCAAATCGTGTCTGTCTGAATAACTGGGGTCAACTCTCTTTTACCGCTTTTCCCCTTGGGAGACTGGACAGATGGCTCTGGGAAGGTCATCCAGTATTTGAAGGTCTCTGGGTGGATTCCAGAGCTGGAAAACTCACAGAGCTGGTTTTAAACCACTAATCCCACTGAGCCAACACTGCCACCATTCCCAAATGGGTCATTTCCCTTGGCGACGGCGTCCACCCAGACCGAGACCCCAGAGGGAGGGTGGTGAGCAGCACTGCCTTGCTGAGTGATCTCCGGCAACACAGAAGGGGACTATCATCCAGGCCTCTGACTCACCAAGCAGTGCTCTCTGCTAGTCAGCCGCAGACTTTCAGCTTTCATGACACCCATGTTCACAGGAGACAAAAACGTGGTAACCTTGACTTGGATGGATGGATGGATGGATGGATGGATGGATGGATGGATGGATGGATAGGTGGGTGGGTGGGTGGGTGGATGGATGGATGGGTGGATGGGTGAATGGATGGATAAATAGGTGGGTGGGTAGGTGGGTGGATGGATGGATGGATGGATGAGTGGGTGGGTGGGTGGATGGATGGATGGATGGATGGATGGATGGATGGATGAGTGGGTGGGTGGATGGATGGATGGATGGATGGATGGATGGATGGATGAGTGGGTGGGTGGGTGGATGGATGGATGGATGGATGGATGGATGAGTGGGTGGGTGGGTGGATGGATGGATAGAAGAATGGAAGAAAGGATGGACGGATGGGTGAATTTTAGCTCTTAGCTTAAAGTGGAAATGACCGGAATGGTATTGTAGCACTATCCTTGATTAGGAATGAAGACTCCAGTTCGAACCTCACTGAGCCATATCTGAAGCTATTGATCTACTTCCTATGACCTGTCTCCCCCATGGAATACGGGTTTCATGGGAGCGGGCAGCTCTGCCATCTTGCTCTTCTCCCAAACACCCAGCAGAGTGCCCAGTAGAAAGTCAAGGGCCCAATCAACACATATCTGGAGAATGCCTCCGGCCCCGCCCTCACCAGCCACATAACCTTGGCGATGGAACCCATCCTCTCAGCCCTCTGCTGGCCCCTGCCAAGGGGGAGGAAGGACATCTCCCTGGCTCCAGGAGTGCAGGGGGGACCCAGGGAAGGGAGCCACGTGGAACTGCTCTGAAAAGCACACGGTGCTGAGAAAGGCGCCCTGCAGACCCTTTTCTACATCCGATGCCCCTTCCCTTCCACCTCTGACTCCCCGCTGAATATCCAGTGCGGCCGACGCTTGGCTAAAATCTTTGGGTTGCCTTGGCTTTCTAGTGGGGTGGGGTCGTCAGGGTGGGAGGGGGCCCCAGCTGGGGTTGAGTGGCATTGATGAAAGACCTTCCCAGCGCCATCCATCGGGACAGATAGTTTGGAGACAGCTGGGCCCAAACACGAGGAGCCCTCTGGCCTGCCTGGCCCTTTGACATTTCATTGAGCTGGGCCTGGGCTCGTTGGAAGGGAGACAATGAGGGGAAGTCAGATAGCGAGTGGGGCAGGCAGGGGCCAGGGGAAAGCCACCCATGGAGTTATCACTTAACGGGATCCCAAACTGGAAGGAAACCTCCGCTGATTCCTTATCACTTTACAATGGAGGCTGATGATGAATTGCTTTTTGTCGTCCCGAGGCAGGCGAGACAGACAGCGCCTGGCTGGAATGTCCCCTGCCCCTGGGAGCTTTCCTGGGGGTGGAGGGAGGTGAGAAGGGCAGAGGTTTCTGCAGGGGTGAAAGGAGCCCTGCGGGGTGCACATCCCACGCACCCCAAGTGCCCAGATTGCGGTGTGGATGGGGGGCAGGGCCAGCCACTAGCTGGGTGACACTGGGCAGGTTACTCAACCTCTCTGAGCCTCAGTTTCCGAATCCGTGAAAAAGGGGTCATTCTTCACCGTGTTATCTCCAGCCCGTCACGGAGTCCTCACTCCCCTCCCATCTCCCGCTCTTCTCACACCCCGGAGCCCGCCACGGCTTCTCAGCTGAGCTCTGGTATCAGTTCCAGTCCCCTCCTATCACACAGCCATGTGACTGCTTCAGGACAAAACTGAACCCTGTCACCCACGGGTCTGAACCCCTCCGACGGCTGCCCGGTGGCGTCAGGATAACATCTGAGGTCCTTCACGCGGCTCCCGAGGGCCGGCTTCGTGCTGGCCCTGCCTTCCCGTCACTCTGCTCCGGCCTCCCGTTCACCCCCCAAGGGGGCGGGCGCCCCGTCCTCTGAGGGCTGCACATGCGCTTGCCCCTGTGCCCGGACACCCACTGTGCCCCCTTCTCCTAGCCAGCGACTCTGAGCTGAAGTTCCTCCAGATCCCCCGTCTGATACCTCCTTTCATGTCCATTAGCACTTTACGTGTCTCCTTTACAGTATTCGACTAACATTTCTGCCCAACCATCCTACAATTATGTCATCAGCTGTGCCCGTAACAGGTGAGCCACACAGGCAGGGCGATGGCTGACTGGCTGGCTGAGCGCGTCCATGGGTTACCTCAGTCCATCCCCTACCAAGCCCGCAGGGTAGGTCCTCCTGGTAGCCCCATTTTTCAGCCAAGGCAGTTGAGGCTCAGAAAGTCAAAGCAACGTGCCCAAGGCCACAGAGCTGGGACAGTGTCCGTGATGGTGATGCCTTGCAAGGGACCAGCCAGCAACTCCAGCCTCCCCAGTGGCCGCCATGAGTCCACAAAGTGCTCCCCGCAGGTCCACGGCCCCCCGCCATGGAAAGCGGCTCCCCAGCCTTCCGATCCCGCCTCCCCGCTGCATCCCCCAGGAATGCACTTGCAAGGATGCCGCTATAAATACCGAACCAAAAAAGCGCCTTGATTCTTTTCAACTTCTTCCTCCTCTTCTTTTGGTCTGGCATTAATTTAATAGACAGAGCTCCCTAATTCAAACCTGGTGAGCTCTTAATCAGCACGCTTGACCCAGGCCCGAGAGCAACTCTCTAGTGGAGGGCGAAGTTCTGAGATTGTAGCCGATAAGCGAGGGTGACAGTATAGAGTGGTGGTTCTGGGCCCGGGCAAAGCCTGCAGACCAGGCCTGGGTTCAAATCCCACCTCTGAGAACTTCCAGCACATGAGTTTACCTTTCTGAGCTTCAGTTTCCCCATCGGTCAAGGTGGTTAATAGAAGCACCTACTGAATCGTGTTACTCAAAAGGTAAAATCATGGTCTGGAACCTAGGCAGGCCACCCTTAAATAGGACATCAAACAAGACTCCCAGGCAGGGACATGTGCTCCGTGAGACCGTCCTCACCCCTGCCTGCGCCTGAAGAGGGAGGCTCGTTTGCAGGCATCTGGTCTGCAGCCCATCCGGCAGCGGACCTGCTGGGAGTCAGTCCAGGGGGCCTGGAGGGGTGATACTCTTCAGGCCTTTGAGATCCAAGGAGCTGAGATGGCCTTCAGATAAGTCTGGAAACCCCAGCGTCATCCAGATCAGCTCCCCAGCCCAGGCTCGGACCAAAGACAGCTCTTCCCTCCTCCAAAATGCAAGAGGAGTGAAGGTCAGATAGTCACACTGGTGCGTTTGCTCATGTAACCCCAGCTCCAGAGAAAGTCATCCAAGCATTGCTTCCATTAATCCTTATTACTGAGCTGTTTTTTGAAGGGCCAAACACTGGGCACCGGACTTCCAAAGGTATCGTGTTGGCTACGGAGGCTTCGAGATACAACAGGCTAAAGACCAGGATCTGGGCCTGCCCGAGCCAAACAGTGACCGCTTAAAGAGTCAACCTGTGCTAAGCCCAAGCTGGATAGCATGACATCTTCACGCCAAGCCTATGAGACAGGCCCAATCACAAGCCTGTATGTACAGAATTTTTATTTTTAATGAGGTGGAGAGGACTTAAGTAACTGGCTCTTTAATTATAAAAATTTGTAACTGGCAAAGATTAGATTCACCCCAATGGTCTGATTCTGAACCACAGGCAGAAGCACCAGACTACCTAGTCCCACCACCTGGCATCGCTTTCTCAAGACTTCACCTAGATGAGCCTTCTCTTTGCTTCCCACTGGGACACACTTTCTGGAGTGATGTCAGCTACTTATGCAATCACAGTTACTGGGTGCTCATGAGCATCAGGTGCTTTAGGAAACTTAGCGCCATTTACAAAGCGGGAAACTGAGGCACAGACAGGTGTGCCTGAGGTCACACAAGAAGCTGGTGGCGGAGGTGAGACTTGAATTTGTGTTTCCATGGCCCCGTTGCCCTCCCTGTCCTCACCGTCCTATCTGCAGCTCACACCAGGCAATGGCTCCAGTAAACTGAGCTCAGCCACACCATCCATGGCACCCGCTTTGATTCTGACTCCAAAAAAAAAAAAAAATGATCACTAGAAATTTCCTTCCTTAACCTAGTCCATTTGGACTCAAATGACTGAGGAAAAGTCAACCATTTCTTATTTGGCAAAGGAGACACCAACCTAGTAGATTGAAAAAAGGGATGCAAAGAAGGAAAAAAAATCAGTTGTGACTTTCTTTCCTTTTCCTTTTTTTCTTTTTGTGCTAAGTTTTGATCTGGAAAGGAAAGGAGAGCTCAGAATCCACCTGCGAGAAAGCCAGGCACGTGAACTAGAGAGGCACGTCCGATGAGAAGGACCTTCCCGGCGGCGTGGCTTGTGCTACAAGCAGGAACACTGGAAGCAACCTGCCTTAGAAACGCCACCTCACCTTTCTGGGGTAATACTTCCTCTTCACTTAAAAAAAAAAGAGGCAGCTCCAGGCTCAGATATCAACAACCTATTCTGAAGTTTAAAAAATGCAAGTTGCAAAATATGTAGTTTGATAGCAACTGCTAAAAATAGAAACAAAACTATTTTTAGGTACGTGGGTGCATGTGTGTAAATGAATAAAATAGGTCTGGACCTTTCAAGTAAGTTTCCCCCAAGGAAGGAGCTAAAATTGGGGAAGGACATGTTTCACTGGTATGGTTTGAATTTCTTACAGTCTCTATGTGTTTTTGTATTGTTTACATTTTTTAAATAAGCAAATAGAGTTATGTGTACTTTTTTCCCCAAGGAAAGGAAAGAAGTAGAGAAAGAGGCACATTGGACAGGGGATGTCACACTCACCTTTCCTTTTGGTACAATGGTAAATTTGGCCGTGCTCCTGGGGCAGCGGGTAGGGGTTGGGTGGGGGCAGAAGGTCCTGGGAGGGTCCGGACACACCATTCTCACACTGGTACTGGGACCCCAAGTTGGAGGAGGTGGAGAGAGCTCGAGGCTCACTGCTGAAAGGGCTGTGGTTGGAGGCCACTTTTTGTCTCACTGTGCTCCTGGGAACCACGGGATATTCTTTACTGAAAGAGAGAAGACGGGGGATAACATCGATCAGTGCCCTGATACAGATCCTCCCACTGGTTGAATCATGGGGTCAAAGAATTGACCAGAAAAGTCACAAAATAAGAAACAAAAGGGTGTTTGATGAGCAAAGTGATTCAATTACATTCCAGTGCATCATATGCCTTGGAGGTACATAGTTGGGCATTAATTTTTCATGCCGTATATAGTAGGCAAGTAGATTTATGACTAATTCTACATGTATGCAGAAAGGTGAGTCAAGCATGGTTGCTGACCACTAGGATAGTCAGAGATGACCCTAAGTTACCCTAATCTGAAGAGTTTGCTGCTTGTGCCTTAGAATTTCCTTTTGAGCTGCTGTACTTGTCACCACTGACATACTACTTAACATCTCCATGCCTTCATTTTCCAAGGGATAATAAAAACCCCAGTTCAAAGGGGTGTGGAGAGATGAAATGAGTAAATATATGTGAAAAACTGAACAATACTTGGCCCATGATGAGTGCACAACAAATAACAACCATGATCATCACTGTCATTGTAAACACAATTGGTTTCCTTTGGATCTATGAATTTTATTACATGCATTTAATCACGTTATTCTGAGAAGTAATCCAGTCTTCACCAGATGGGCAGTGAGGTCCACAGCACTAACCAAATTCAGAATCTCTGCCCCAGAAGAAACATGTATCATTAAATCCCAAATGCAATTGTGATTTTTGCCATGACCCAGAACCAACTCTTCTTTAACTTAGTGCATTTTTTAAATTGTTTTTTAATTGATTTTAGAGAGAGAGGAAGGGAGAGGGAGAGAGAGATAGAAACACTGATGAGAGAGAACATCAACTGGCCACCTCCTGCATGCGCCCCACTGGGGACTTGGCCCACAACCTGGGCATGTGCCCTGACTGGGAGTCGAACCAGCGACCTCTTGGTGCATGGGTCGATGCTCAACCACTGAGCCACACCAGCCAGGCTTAAATTGTTTTTTTGTTCAAATAAGTTTAGCCTCACTCTGGGCATTAATATCTATGAAATTATGGGCTTGTGATGTTAATTACCATTCCTCTAATGCTGTTAAAATAAATCTTTACCTATTAAAATCAGAGTACACCTGAAATCATCTCGCGGAAAAAAACATTACACCTAACACATTCTGAAAGGTGCTGTATTACCCTATTTTATCCTCCCTGTGACCATAGGAAGTAGGTGCCATTCTTGTCCCCATTTTACAGATTAGGAAACTGAGGCCCAGAGAGAGTAAGCAACTCGCCCATGGTCACAGAGCTAGAAAGAGACACACCAGAAATCTAACCCGACAGTCCCCTTAATGACTTCTAGACAATGTCCTAATTACTTCTGCCAATATTTAAAACACAATGTGCTTTTAGGGGAGCAGGGGTTTAGGGTTCACCATTACCACCCCTCAGGGGTATAACAACCCCCACTCTGGGCCCCTGCCTTTGTTTGTTATGTGAAAACACATCAGAATAGCCAGGCAGGGGACATGACGTGTCTGCCAAGTTTCCATGAGGTTCCAGACACCCTCAGGACCCCCGAGGGTCTCCTAGCCAAGTTTTCCTGTGGCATGTGCCATCTCAAAGCTGAGGCGGGAGCCATCCTGAGTGGCCACACCACTCAGAACCTCCCCCTGGGACCAGCAGGCTGGAAGAAATGAAATTAGCTTTATAGTTCTCCCTCTGTGGCTCCAGCTACGTCATGGAAAATGAAGAAGAAGAATTACAAGAATAATAATAATAATAAAACATAAAAGCTGTCAAATCTCGGTGGCAATTCTATTTGGGTCTGCCTAGTGGACATACCAGGCTGTCAAAGCTCCCCAAAAGGAGGGGTTTCTCTTTTAGTTTTATATTCTTAATAGAGATGGGTTTTGTTTTTTTTAATTAAAGAAAATAACTCCCAAAAATGTTGGCTGAGGGAGTTTACAAGAGAATGTATCAATGGGCTCTGAGGAATTCTATGCTCCAGCATCGTCAGATTGCAAAATGAATGTCTGGAAAGGGCAAGCCTGCCTTTGATTACTAACACTCGGAGAAATGAGCAAGCCACTCCACCCCAGTAATCACTCGTCCCACACAGCTTGCTTCTCTCCAAGGAGCTTGAAACACCATCCCTACCACTGGTCGTGTACCTCTCTCTCTCAGTGCCTGAAACACAACATCTGCAAACCCATCTGACAGGTGTCAACACAGGGCAGGAAATGTGTCGAGACTTCTCATTCGGTAGGAGAGAGAGGCAAAGGAAAGCAATGCTACACTCAAACAAATTCAGGTAATTTCCACTGGGCTCATCCAGTCAAAGGAATATGATTAGTACCAATACAGTGAAAATCTCTGAAGTCCTTGTGATGAGAAGATAAATTATACTCCTCCACGGTTGAGAGCCTCATCAAAGAATCCAGGAAACAAGAGAATGGAAATGAAAGTTGAAAAGGCCTTTGTGTGTCTAGAAAGAAGGGCGGCAACAGAGGGCTGGCGTTTCATCACCATCATCATCACCATTATCACCATCATCATCACCATCATCACCACCATCATCACCATCATTATCACTATCATCACCATCATTATCACCATCATCACCATCATTATCACCATCATCATCATCATCACCATCATCACTATCAATACCATCCTCACCACCATTATCACCATCACCATCATCATCACCATCCTCACCATCCTCACCATCATTATCACCATCACTATCATTATCACCATCATCCTCACCATCATTATCACCATCACCATCCTCACCATCATTATTACCATCACCATCATCACCATCTTCACCATCATTATCACCATCATCACCATCAATACCATCCTCACCATCCTCACCATCATTATCACCATCACCATCCTCACCATCCTCACCATCATTATCACCATCACTATCATCATCACCACCATCAATACCATCCTCACCATCACCATCCTCACTATCATTATCACCATCCTCACTATCATTATCACCATCCTCACCATCATTACCATCATCATCACCATCATCATTATTATCTGCCTCATCATCATCCACACTGTTCTGTAAGTGTCTCCTAATGTCCCAGCCACTGTACTGGTTGATTTCTCTGCTTTCCCTCATTTGATCCTGGCAAGAACTCCGTTTTATTGCTGTGCTTAGATTTACTTCAGAGGCAAAGAAACTAAGTTTCAGAGATGTTAAGCAGCTAAGAAGAGGTGGAGCAGAGCGTCAGCCCAGGTCAGTGCTATTCCAAAGCTCTTGCCAACTTACACTTGATAATAGAAAATCACTGCCTTCGCAGCAACAGCTTGGGCAACACAGCCGTCCTGGGATAAAAGCTTCCTGGCGATAACAGAGTTGGGCATTGGCTACACCAGGACAACGTCAAGTCCTACTGGCCAATCTGCAGATCCTACTGTTCAAAAAATCTTTCATTTACCAGCCAAACCCACTGCTCTCAGCTGTATCAACAGCTGTACCCACATCCTGCCAACTTGCTCTGCCTAGTCTACGCTCCCAGGACACCCGCCGAGGGTCCTGAGCACCTCGTTTCACCCTGGGTGTCGGAGCCCGCAGACCAACTTCTCCCAGGCTCTCACATTCTGTTCCACATGAGCGAGCCCCATGAATGGCACCATTGTCGCCGGGTCTGGGTTGTAAAACGTTACAAGGGAATATTGAAACCCACGGCCACACTGCACCCACCGCGTGCCGCCAGCTAACAAACGCCCCTGAGAACCTTTTTCCACTGCAGCCGTCTGAATCGGCCTTTTCACTGCAGCAGGTGGCCGGCTGCTGGCTGGTGTCGTGCCCTGCGCTGCTTAGTCTCTGGCAGCCCTTCGCAAACAGCCCAGGCCGCGCGCGGGGCAAGGCTGGGGACTGTAACATTCCTGTTCTCGGGGAGCGCATTCCTCCCTGGGCTAGCACGCCGGTCTGCGATTAAAATTCACAAAGGGCCCCACAATCCCGCGACAGCTTGCGCGATGTATGAACTCCCCGATGTGCTCCGGGAGGTCATTCTGGTGGAACGCACAGACGTGGGAGGACCGGGGATGGCTCGCCCCCGTGGGATTTAGCTCAGTGCGAAGAGTCCTTCACGTCTACAATTGTTTCATTACTCGGTTCCCACCACGCCAGCCAGCCAGAGAGGGGATGGTGGCGGCTGGCCGTTCCCTCCGGCTGGTGAGAACAGGTGGACACAAGAAGTCACCTGAATTTCCCGCCGTTGATTCACCCAGGGCTGTCTGATGGGAGGGGCACTGGGCAGCTCAAAGACACGCCCCACTCTGGCCGGAAGCACCCAACTCTAGTCAACTTCGGCCTTGTTAAATCTCTAGATCATTTCATGTCAGGGTGGGAACCCAGTGAACTTGGCCATGGGGCGCTGGCTGGATTCTTCCTTTCTCTGAGCCTCAGAATCCTGTCTATAAGATGGGGATAATAAGATACACCCACTCTTGAGGTTATTAAATAATACGCTGCTGCACAGAAAGGCTTAGTGCCCTGGCTGGCTGGCTCAGTTGGTGGGAGCATCGTCCTGTACGCCAAAAGGTTGTGGGTTCAATTCCCGGTCAGGGCACATGCCTAGGTTGTGGATTTGATTCCTGGTCAGGGCACATATGGGAGACAACTGGTCACTGTTTCTCTCTCACATCAAAGTTTCTCTCTCTCTCTTTTTCTCCCCCTTCCTCTCTAAAATCAATGAAAACATATCCTTGAGGATTTAAAAAAAAAAAAAAGGCTTAGCATATATTTGGTGCACTTTACTCAATAAACACCAGCTTATAAACCACACATTATTATAATCTGAAACAGAAGTTCTTATCTTGCGAGGGCTTTGAATGGTCTGTGAACACCACCACCACCTACCCATCCCCCATTATCAGATATTTAGAGTGTCAGTTTTCTAGGGAGTGGTCCATCTTTGCATCAACTACTCAGAAGGGGTCTGTAATTTATTTTAAATAAACGTTTTGAGCAACACTACAGGGAT